TTTGCAAGGGTATATAGGTAGGTATAATGTCAAGATTATAGATCCAATACCATTTATACCAATATAATATGAATTGATATGTGAATTGTGAACTCTTGTTCATATATTGATATGTGAATGTATTATTTATATCAATATATTGTATTATATATTGATATGTGAACTTGTGAACTGTTGTTATATATTTATTACACTCCTAAATCATACTGCAAAGGCCGAGACTTTAAACTGTGCCTCACTGTGCCTCAAGTTTTTTTTACAACACTTCTCTTTAACTTCACTTCTTGTTGTTTGTTTCTTTGTTTGTTTGTCTGCTATATTAGCTACAAATCCTATTACCGGTATCTATGTTTAACATACTTTTCCCTCTCCTATCAATCTGAAATTTTGCACAATTGCATACAGTTGGAGTCTTATAGACAAAGCATGAATCAATTTACAGAATGAATAATTTTGAAAATCAGAAAAAAATATGTTTGCATTATTGAAAAAAAATATTTTGTATGCTACAAATGTAATCAATTAGGTAATCATTGATATTTAACACACTTCTACATGTCCAATCAATCTAAAATTTTGCACACTTGCATAAAGTTGGAAACAATAAATGAATGAATTGACAAAATGAATACCGTCAACCGGGACTACTCGGGACAAGCGGGGCTACTCGGGACAGGCCTCCGACACGTTGTAAAACAGTTGTAGTAGCGAAACTAATTGGAATATTGCAAAACTAAAAATAGTGGCGTAAACGTCAACATTTTTCCTATCTATGTAGTATAAAGGAAGTCGAAAAATACTACATTTACTTGCTTTGAAAAATTCCTGAAAAAATGGTGAAAAACTATATTTTGTAAAGTTACAACTGCTAAGGTATGTAGCAAAAAAAATATTCGGCATATTAAAAAATTTTACTTACATAAAAGTTGCACCCACGTGTTGGCTTGAAAACGTAATTGACAGAATTTGCCTATCTCATTCCAAAAAGAAATGGCAGCCATTTCCGCACGGCGGGGCTACTCGGGACACCCCCCCAGGGCTATTCGGGAGACCCCCAAAAACGCATTTACGGTAGAACCTCAGTTAGCAAAGGCTCCAGTTAAAAACAAATTGATTAAAAACAAAGAATATTGATTACATTTACCTTGCTGAGCGAAAAAAAGTTCACTTATCCTCACACAAATTACAAGCCATCCTGTATGCTTACAGATACAGAAAAAAATGCTATAAGGCTGCTCATATGAAGCTTGCAGTGAACAAGGTTGTTGTAAATGCTCAATGGCATGTTCATGGATATGGTAATATCCAATCAATAATACAGTAATATATCATCAATAATACAGTAATATCCCATCAATAATAGGGTACCATCAACTGGGGGATTCTGCTGGGTTCATAATGATGGCCAAAGCCAGGTCATAAATGGTCATAAACAATGGCCAAAGTCACTCTGGCGTTTATGACCTGGTTTACAACCCTGGCGTTTATGACCCCGGCGTTTACGACCCCGCGTTTATGACCCTAGCATGAATCAAAAACAAGGCCCAAGTCACCCCAGTTGATGGTAATTAATGTTTATGGAAATATCATATCAATAAAGGAAAAACAAGTAAAAATCACAGAAAATGTCATTTATTCTACCTCTACATTGTCTACAATGAAAGAGGAGGACTTCAGAGTACTGTTAGTAATGGATGAGTACCCTCTGCATGCTTCAAATGTTTTGAAATGAAGTTTTATTCCCATTGTCCCGAGTAGCCCAGGACCCACAGGGCTACTCCAGACAATCTTTATTTTGCATCTGGCACCTTAGGAATAGCATATGGAATTTTTTTTACAATGCCATTCGATAGCCCTGGCAAAGAGCTATAAAATGAGCTTAAATTTGTTTATGAAATGTTTCACCATAAGAAGTTATTAACAGTTATTAACAAAAAAACAATCAAATCTGTCCTGAGTAGCCCTGGTTGACGGTAATTTAAAAAATATAATTTTTAGGTATACCGTCTACCGGGGCTACTCGGGACGGTTTTGAGCGTTTTATGTTAATAACTTCTTACCATGAAACATTTCATAAACAAGTTTAGGCTCATTTTATAGCTCTTTGCAAGGGCTATCAAATGGCATCTTCAAAAAAATTCCATATGCTATTCGTAAGGTGCCAGAAGCAAAAAAAAAAGTGTCCCTAGTAGCCCTGTCGAACGTGGCTACTCAGGACACTTGGAATAAAACTTCATTTTAAAATATTTGAAGCATGCAGAGTGTACTAGTCCATTACTAACAGTACTCTGAAGTCCTCTTCTTTCATTGTAGATGATGTAGAGGTAGAATAAATGACATTTTCTGTGATTTTTACTTGTTTTTTGTTTATTGATATGATATTACCATAAACATTAATTACCATCAACTGGGGTGACTTCAGCTGTGTTTTTGATTTTGTTTTGCAAACAAAAATGGGGTCGTAAACGCCGGGGTCATAAACGCCAGAGTGACTTTGGCCATCCTTTATGACCCCGCTTTTGTTTGCAAAACAAAATAAAAAACACAGCTGAAGTCACCCCAGTTGAAGGTACCATATTATTGATGTGATATTACTGTATTATTGATGTGATATTACAGTATCCATGAACATGCCATTGAGCATTTACAACAGCCTTGTCCACTGCAAGCTTCATATCAGCAGCCTTATACAGCATTTTTTCTGTATCTGTAAGCTTACAGGACAGCTTGTAATTTCACACCATTTTAATTGGGTTAAGTGAATTTACTATAAAAAAATAACTCAGTACCCACTGCAGTGAGTGACAGAGAGCGCATTTTCTCGTCGCGACGAAAACTTGAGGTCATGGATGGATGGACAGCCGGACGGACAGAAAGACAGACGGACATGGCGAGCACAATGGTGAATTTTTTCCATAAATGAGAAAATGCACTAAAAAGATACTAGTGAAAAACATACTTGAAACAGAAAGGAATGTTTTAGTGACAACATCATATGTTTTGGAGAAATAAATCATAGTTCAGGTCAATTACTTTTCGTTCTATGATGCCTGGTGCACAATTCTAAATATGACATTCTATGCACAATTTTGTGATGACCGATGATGCACTAATTTTTCAATAAGTGAACGAAAATGACCGCCTTTTTTTTTTGGAATGAGATAGGCAAAATCTGTCAATTACGTTTTCAAGCCAACACCTGGGTGCAACTTTTATGTAAGTAAAATTTTTTAATACCGTGAATATTTTTTTTACTACAGACCTTAGCAGAAGTAACTTTTCAAAATATCATTTTTTACCATTTTTTTCAGGAATTTTTCAAAGCTAGTGAATGTAGTATTTTTGAACTTTCTTTTTACTACATAGATAGGAAAAATGTTGATGTTTAGGCCACTATATTTAGTTTTGCAATATCCCAATTAGTTTTGCTATTAAAACAGTTTTACGCCGTGTCAGAGGACTGTCCCGAGTTACCCTGCCAGTCCCGAGTAGCCCCGGTTGACGGTATCACAAAATAGGCATTTATAAGTACTTTTTATTTAAGATTTGAAAATAAAATAAAAAATTCATTGTACAAGTGACGCAGATAGGGTCTCATTTATGATTAGCTTCTGCTCAATTTCTCAGAATGATTGGCAATGACGTATATGATCAACCTGAATATCAGACAGAATACCTATTCATGAAATTTTGGGTAAGAAAGATAAATTCATGGACAATCTCTGAAAACTGGACCATTTTTCTCAATTTTTTTTAATTGACCCAAATACACTCAAATCTTATCAAACCTAATAGAAAAGTCTGGTAATAATAAAAAATCCAAATTGATGGTATGTACCTACTATTTTCAAACATAATATGTCCAGATGATTTTTTGCTGGTGGGTTTTTTTCTCCAAAACATTTGGTTTTTTTTAAGAACATAGTTTTTTCTATTTTACATAATATAGGTTCCTAGTTAAAAATAACAAGCAATTTAAGCTTTGCAATTTTTAAGCATGTGCAATAGATGCCTCATTGCCTCATGATTTGGGACAAATCAAGCTTTTTTCCAGTCTTCAAGAAATTTTTTCAACTATCCAGAACTTTGTTTTCTGTAATTGGTTATCTGAAATTTTCTTTGACTCACATCAGGTGCCTGCTTCCCCATACAAGCACCTGCAATTCACCACATTATCTGTAGTTTTACTTACCACAATGAAGTATTAACCTGATGCTAGTGGTGCTATCTTATGGTCTGAGTAATGCACAAAGGTGAAATGAGCACACCTGATTACACTTAGTTTAATTATTGGCAAACAGTACTCAGAACAAATCAGGCTGCCTGGAATTGCAATACAGTAACCAAACGATAGTTTGTGCCAGAGCTGCTCCACCTAGATGGTGCCATAATAGCAGAGAGGTGGAGTTAGATTGATCTACTCTACTAAGTTTGAGCTGATAAAGCTTTACCCATAGAAATGCATCATGTACAACATTACCATGAGAAGCAAAGAGAGAGAGAGAGAGTGAGAAAGAGAGAACTTCTCTTTTTATTTTCTCTTTATAACTGCTTAGCCATGAAGCCTTGGTTTTTGTTATAAAGCTTATCTGAATGCTATTAGATTGCAATTGAATAATAACCATGAATAATTCAAATAGTAGAAAGCTGTAGAAAATAACAGAATCAGTAGGATCTGTACGTAGTAAATGCCATAAATATCAAATGATTAGTTGTTATTCTTTTTTTTTCTTTTGGTGTTAGGGGTGATGTAATCACCATGCATTATTTTTGCACATGTTGATTCAAATAAAATATAAATAACAAGCTTCCAAAATGTAATGTTTCTAATAATTTCCATATTGATGGAAACTGCAGATAGAGCAACCTAGTTATTTGTATACCTAGCAATAACAGATAATATTAGTGTGGTTCTACTATTGCATTATAATGTAGTCCATTGGATATTTAAACTTCAATGTTACTAATATATTATTGTTTTCATTTCCTTTTCATTTCAGGGATTTAAGTATAAAATTTAGTGAAGCATTTATTTTTAAACTAGTTCTTGAAGTCTGCCATCAGCACTCATGAGTGACATGGAAATAAAACGGCGAAGGAGCCCTAGAACAAATAAAGAAGCTCCTCCTTTATCTGTTTCAGTAAGTGGATATTTTTAAAATTAACCCTCAAAGTCAGATGTCATTTCAACAGGTTTCAAGATCTCATTTCAAATCTAAACCTGTCAGTGCGCCAAAAAAAAAAATCTCAGAATAGTTGCTTGCACTATCAATTGTTTTATGCTGACGTTAATATGAACCAATGCTGCTGATTTTTACCTGTTCAGCAAGTAAAAAGCTCCTGATAATAATTAAAAAATTTGCAGAAAATATGTCTGTTATTTATTTCAAAGGTCAAGTATGTTTGAAAGTGTGCATATGTTAATGACTGTAATGACTCAACAAAGAAAACCATATAATTTGTGAAATTAAGTTAACCATCTGATCATTTATAAATTTTGTTCCTTTTTTTATGATGTAGTAGTTAAGTTATACATTAATGTAATATTTCCCTTATGAAAGGCCTAATGTACTGAAACTTGGGTAGTGTAGTCTATTATTTGAAACTAATCTTCCTTTTCTAGACAGCAAGTACTGACAGTTATGGGAAAAGGACTCCTGGAAAAAAGCGCAGCATTTCGTCTCCTCCTTCCAGGACAAAATATGCAAACTGTGAGAGTGAGTCACAGTCAAGCAATGATGATGAAGGTAAATGTAAATATGTTGGTTATGTCAGTAGATACGTATATTAAAAAAATTTTTAATGCATATTTTTTTAATCTTTCAAACTACATGTGATATTGTCAACAGATTTCATCAATAATTCCTCAATTTTTATATTTCCTATTATTACATTTTTTATATTTTAGAAGGACGCAGTAATCTTTCATCCAACTTGGAATCCACATCAGCTGAAAATGAGGTTCTGCTGATACACACGGAGGAGACTTTTCTTTATGCCAAAAAGCCTAAAGAGCAGCAGTACTCCCCAGTTGAACCCAAGAAACCAGTCCGCAAGATTAAACCTAAGGAAATTTCTGATCTATCTTTAACACCCAAGGTGTCAACAATGATTGGGCTTGTTGGCATTCTCATTGCAATCCCTCTGTTATTGCTTTTTGCTCATTTATTCTCCAATGGCAAAATGAACCACCCTTCTGATTTGAAAACTCTTGGGGACATTGAAGATGATATTATTCGCGACTTGGAAAAACTGCGTTCTGAAACAAAGCAAGAGATGAAATTTTGGTGAGTTGAGTGGATGCAAGGCAGAAAAGTAAGTGTACAGATATTGAGCACAATTCTGTTTAGTTGCTAAATGAAGTTTCATTTCTGTGAAGGGCATTTTGAACTGCATGATGCAGCACCTAAGTTATATTTTATTTCATAAACATGGAATGTAGTAATCAATGGTCCATTCTCCTGTTTTACAAGCTCATGGTCTAAATCAGGTACCGTATAAACTTGAATTGCAGATGTAATTTCTGTCTAATATTACAGGCCTGAGTATATACTGAGTAGGTATATATGAATAAAACTTCCAGAATGATGAAGTTGATAATATTGTTTTCATGAATTCTAAAGAACACCAGTCTGTTTAACCTTCTTATAGGCATAGAACATATTTAAAAAACTATACAGAAATTTACAAATTTTTTCATTTTTCATAGCCATCAGGTTTGCTAGCCTATGCGACAGGTGTCTATGGATGCTTGTATTTTTTTTATAAATGTATGATTTCACTTATGTCTGATGTATGACCTGTCTCCAAAAATTATTTGTGAATACATTGTTAGAACTGATTAGAATGCAAACTTCTGTTCACAATTGGAATTGTTAATATTTTGTCTACAAGATTCTGACTGAAAGAATTTAAGTATAACTTCCAGTTATTAAACTTTAAACTGGAGTACTTTCAAAACTGGAGCAAAACTTTCAGAAAGTTTTGCTTCAACTACTCTAAAAAAGTATCAGAACAAATTTATGCCTCTTTTTTTTTAATTTTTTTCTCCCATTATGGCCTCTTTCTACTGAGTGGGTTACAAAATCTTTGGAAATACAAGGTTACACAATCACTTCTGGTTACATAATCATTGATTTTTAACAAGTTAGTTTATTGCCTATTATGACATTTAAACATCACTGAAGTGGTGTTAATTCTAACCAATGCAACATTTATTACTGATTAAAGTATTTAAATATACATTCAGAGTAATTTTCGAAAATTAGATGAGAAATTCATTGTACATCTGTAAGATTGGAGATACTGGATTCTTTGGAAGTGTTGTCTTTGAAAAGTAATTTTTAAATGTATATTATTTTAATTCTTTTCTCCCATTATGGCCTCTTTCTACTGAGTGGGTTACAAAATCTTGGAAATACAAGGTTACACAATCGCTGTGGGTTACATAATCATTGATTTATTAACCAGTAAGTTTATTGCCTATTGTGACATTTGAACATCACTGAAGTGGTGTTATTTCTAACCAAGGCAACATTTATTACCGATTAAAGTATTTAAATGTACATTCAGAGTCAGAATTTTATCTCTCATTCAGGCGCGAGATGTACGCTGGTTTGTCCACCCTCACGGAGCAAGCTCCTCGCCAGCCTGTGGTGGTGCTGATGGCCGTACCTCTTGACGGCTCTAGGACGGCCGTCTGCATCGCCCATCATCTAGCAGACATCGTTAATAAAGCCTTTGAAGGTGATTTGCTATGTACTACATTAACCTCAAGGACACAGTCTAGCTTTGATTCAGTAATTGACGTGCTTGATAATTAATCATTTAATGAGAATTCTCATTGCAAGTTGTGAGCCTGCTTAAAAATGAAAAAATGCACAATTTGAAGGATGGATATGATGAGCAGGATTGATTTTTTTGATTGTTTAATATTAGAAGATAAGTCTTTCATTAATGTAATGTATTAAGACCAATTTTACATTATGTATGTTAATTTTGCTTCTCTTTAGTATGAAAGGTAAGAAATCTTGGTATATATATGTAGAGTCATCTGTACTAGCCTGACTTACCTGCGTGTCTGATTGCCTTTTAATTCTGTAGATGATGCTGTGGTAAAACATGATACTCAGAGTCACCTGCACATGCCATGGGACGAACACAAATATGTGCTGGACAACCGCCTTCAAAACCTCTCTCGCTCTCACTCCGCCCTCATCTACAACCTCGAGAAGATGCCCCCCAAGACGGCAACTCTACTCCATGGTTACTTTGACAATGATAACGCGCCTCACAAAAGGGTTGGAACAAAATTAAAAACTTAAACAACTAATTTAAATTAAAATGTGAATTATTTAATAAACATATTTTGAATGATTTCTACAAATAAGTATGGTTTTTTTCTAGTTTAATATCATCTTTAGACTTTGACTGAGACCCAACTAATCATATTGATTATTTCTGTCTTAATCTGGATGCCTGTGCTTCTTTGAAATATTTTGAAGATATACCCGTAGGCATTGAACTTCCTATAATTGCCGTCAGTTTTCTTTGCACTTGGAGCTGAATTTTTTTTACTGGACTGATGCTTGGGTATAATGAAATTTTGGCCACTTTTTGAGTTGCAAGACACGAAACACTGGAAACTTTTATCCGCATTTCTTGCCCACAGCCACTTATTTCAGGCCCTGATGCTGCTGGAGTTGCACTACTTGTCAGTGGCCGAGTCTGATATATAAACTCACAAATATTTGTTTCAGGCCCTGATGCTGGTGCTGCCGGAGCTAGAGCTGCATTATTATGCGTCAATGGCCTAGTCACATCTCTGGACTCACAACCATTTTTTCAGCCCCTGATGCTGGTGCTGCTGGAGCTTGAGCTGCATTACGCATCAGTGGCCGAGTCACATCTCTGGAGTAACGACCATTTGTTTCAGGCCCTGATGCTGGTGCTGCTGGAGCTTGAGCTGCATTACGCATCAGTGGCCGAGTCACATCTCTGGAGTAACAACTATTTTTTTCAGGCCCTGATGCTGGTGCTGCTGGAGCTAGAGCTGCATTACGCATCAGTGGCAGAGTCGCATCTGGATTTGACGGTCGAGCGACGACTACATGAGTTGTGGCGCCAGGACTTGGAGCCTGACAGCATTCCTGGCCTCATCTCGCGCGTCGCAGTCCAGCCTGTCCTTGTCAAGCCCGAGTCAAAGCTGGTCTTGGACCGATTATGTCCGCTTTGAAGTGCATTCCTCCCAAGGAAGAGGGAAAACGTCTTTGTGAAAACTCGCCACTATATTGGCTGGAAAATTGAAGAGGTGTTGTTCCTTTGGAGATGAAATTTTTCAGAAAAGGTTCTGAAAAAAGTTGAGATCAGGCAAGAACTGTTGTGGGCTAAAGGAATCCTTTGCCAGCTAGAAAAGTAAAAATTTGTTCGAATTATAATGTAGACGAGATCATTTAGATTTATTTATTCTTACGTCCTTTTTTTCTAGTAATAACGCATCTAGTCAGGGAAATTCACGTGTGGTCCACCGAAGCCCATTTAACAGTATTATTCATTGAACTACGAAGCATGATCCCTTTGCACATCCAGTAGTTTATATTGTAATTTTTTTTAACCTAAAAACACGGGCGCGTAGATACTCAATGCAATCGCATTTTCAATTATTTGCAATGGTCTTCGAACTTGTAATCAATCGAATTCTCCTGGTTTGTCATTAGACCCTAAGTCGTTGCAATGAATCATTAGTACCTACCGACCATGCTGTCTTTGCCTGTGTTAATCTACTATCTTTCATCACTCGAGACCTCGTCATAGCAAATGAATGTTAACATTTTTAAGGCTGAACTCTCGTGCTTTAAGCGGGCTGCGGCGTCAAACTGACTGCCGAGTCGAATTTCAGTGTTGGAATTACGTTGTGTCTCGTTGCCAGGCCGTTATATACAACCGTAATGAGATATGTTCAAAAGAGGTTGATTAAAAGCTAAATTGAGTGCTCGCAGCTCGACGTATTTACGTGCATATGCATGTTTGCCTTCAATAATCATGTCTCACGGAACCATATCTCGTTGTGTAATGCATGCCTTATGTCACTTATCGATGGCTGAAAGGTTTTTTAGAGCTGACGACGTAATGATGCTCAATTAGGATACAATGATGTGCTTTCTCATTAATTTATTACTGTGTTATCCCTTCTCGGACTCTGCAGGTACAACTGCACCGACCGTCAGTGTGATTATAACGTTGTCTGACAAGGGGCATAGTTCAATATCTGACAAGTGTGATTAAAATCTATATCTAGCACGCCAGTCACAAATCTGTTGATAGTGCCATGAAACGTTCTGTATTCAGGCCTGTTTAGCTCTTTCAATTTTGCCCAATTAAGCTTCTATTTGACTATGGCTTAAAGACTGTGGCTTTAATGCTAGCTGGTCTTATGTTCTCGTTTACTATCATGTTGTAAACTTGCATCTCTTGAAACGTCTGCAACATCTTGTCACGCGGCCTCGATACGTTACCTTTGTTTTGAGAATTTTTATTTTTTGTATATATGTAATGTATTTTGACCGTAGTGTGCGAAGCTTCTTGTGTTCTAACAATTATTTTATTTATTTATGGTGACCTTGAAAACGGTATCGAACATAATTAAGCCTAATTTCACTGAATTTGTCAGTGAAAACATCATGATGCTTCGACTTAAACTTATGCCTCAGCTGGTACAGCTTTGGCTCGGTTCGTAAAGGAACTTATTAAGTCAGAAGTCTGTCTGTTCCTTGGTTTGTGTGCGTTCTGATCTTGTAATACTCATGGGTTGTCAAATGTTTCTGTATCAATCTGCGCTAACTGCAAGCTGTGCCTTCATTAGGATAATTTCTCTTTTATTTCTGTTGTATTTTCATGCGAGTTGAAGGTTTGTTGACAACGGCGACGTGTTTTCAATCTTGGCTGTTTTCGGAAACGCTATTCATTAGGCACCGTATGATGAGTGCCAGCATATAATTGTGTTCACCATTGACGATGTCTATCTTGACTTATCTGGATATAGTGCACGATAATTTGACGATTTATTTTCAGTTTGTAAATATTTCTTTCATTATACCATTTATTTTCCTAGTTTGAAGCCAATTTCATCAAAAGTAATTTAGAAAGAGGTTGATGACTTGGGTTGCAGACGATACATCACAAATATTAGATCAAATAAATTACTAAATTTCATCGTAGTGTGTGTAGTCTTTGATTCTATTAATGTGTGCGATTTTAACAAGCGTTGGTGTTTGTTGTTGAGTCAGCTTGGTATAATATAATTATCACTTGTGTTGAGTGGGGGCAAAAATAGATCCACGGGACTACATTTCTACATTAACTTCAAAAACTATTTTCATTGTTGACTTACTTGCTTGGAGTTTTGTGTTTCGGTTAAATCAAGTTGTCATTGAGGCAATTAGCAGGTGATAACTAATAGGGAATCCATATCCATAATGTGTTACCTATGAGGCAAGTTAATTAATATTATGTACCTCTTAAGAGTTATGTTACATGCAATAAAGTTTTTACATTATTGGACGATGATTGCACGTTTGCTGCTTTACATCAAGTTTGACGGTTTCAATGTATGTAAACAAAAAATTATATATTATAAAAAATTTTCCAAGTTTTAATTTTTGTGAAAAATCTTTCAGCTTATGATCATAGCTCAGTACAAGTAGTTAGAACCCAGCTTTCCACAATGGAACCCACCACGACCTCTCCAACCGTCGAAATGGCCGACCCGCTGCCCTCGACTCTCGCGAGCAGGAGGAGTCAGCGGATAGATGAACAACAAGAATCGACTACAGAACCATATAAACCTGAACGAAACCAAGAATATCACGATAGCGCGAAATCAGGAGCGAGGACCAGACGAACGAGTACTCGCCCACCCCGGAAACCCAGTACCGTACCTTGGAAAATACGAAAGAGCCCTCTGGACAAACGCCCAAACAACCGATAAAGTTCTTCACGATATCAGTCAATGACGGCCGCCACCTCTCCGGTATCGACGTTATAAGAGCCAAGAGAGAAATACAAAGAACACTAAAAAGCAAGCTAACTAAGATCACCGAGACCAGGAACGGAGCGCTCTTTGTTGAGGTAGCAAACTACCAACAGAGCCAAACCATAACTACCATAAAGACTATAGCCAATGTACCAGTTACAGCTGCCCCCAACGAGAAACTCAATGAGACTCGCGGCACGATCTGGTTCCCTAACCGCCCGAACTATACAGACAAAGATTTACTAGCAGAATTGAGTCAGTACGGAGTCAAGGCTGTGTATCGTACGAGGAGAAGGGAGCAAGGTGTACTGGTGCCCACCCCTGTCTATATACTGACCTATGGCTGCCAGCTCCCGTCGCATGTTGCAGTTGGCTGGACGCGCTGTCAGGTACGACTTGTCGACTTTACATCCCGAGGCCTCGCCTATGCTTCAGATGTCAGGGCTATGGCCACGGAGTGCCGGCATGTCGCCGGCCCGCTGCCAGTTGCGCCAATTGCGCTCATAGCCAACATGAACTGCCTGCACCAACCCAGTCAAATGTACCATTTGCGGAAAACCGTATGCTGCCAGCTCCAGCACATGTTCCATTTATAAAAATGGAAGAAGAAATAATAGCCACCCAAACAAAAGACGCATGAGCTACGGGGAAGCCAGGCGAATGGTAAGGAGCCGATACATCAACACACGGATGACCTTTGCCGAAACAACCCACAAACCATAACCCCAAGTACCGAATTGCCAAAGCGAAATGAGCCTCCAAGACCAACGGTGCGTGCGGTGGATAAATACGATGGAACTACCCAGACATGCACGGCAGAGACTGAGAACCCTAGTCGAAAACCCGTAGCTATTACCACAGAGCACCTGAAAAAACCCAAGCACGAATTTCACACTCAACTAAATCTCCACTGAAAAAACCTCTTGCAAGCAACGCGACGAGTAAACGAATACAAAGCAGCCCCTTCCCCTCGCCCGAAACATCAAAAGCAAAAATACCGAAACCACAGCCCCAAAGCCAGCGCCACCAAAGCGGAGCCTATACAGCCGAAGATGAACCTAGTAGAGAGAAGGTGAAGAAAGTGCCAAACACTGACGTGGCTCACAGGCTGCGCTTGCTGGAACGAGTCACCCACGTACCTGAACTCAGCAGTGACATCCTGAATAAATACCCCCTGCCAACGTGCTACTACCCCTCCTCTCTCCATGGTGGAGATGCGCGCGTGAAGGCGAGAAGGATAAGGAAAAGAGATACCCTGAGCGCACCACGGCCCCCACATCCCTGTCAACGAAGCCTAAAGCCCCTCCACCCGGCGAGGATGTCCGGAGAGTATCCAATCAGTAATCATGCTCCTTACGATCATGCAGTGGAACTGCCGGGGTTACTGACGTAACTACGGCGATCTCAGAACCCTGCTGCGGGAAAGGCAACCAACCTGCGTCTGCATCCAATAGACCATGCTTGGAGACGTCACCCCGACCCCCCAACACAGTTATCACGTGGAAACATTTCTTCGACACACCAAACCCCAGATCGGGAACTGGACTGTTGGCCTTGGTCAGACTTGACTCCGCGTGCATCAGATAAGTGATAAACTTGAACATCCAAGCCATGGCCATTCAAACAAATTTAAACTAGAAATTTCACACAATCTGCAATATCTACATCCCACCTGGCCACCGGGTGACCGCCGAAGAACTGAGAAAACTATCAGACCAATTATCATGACCATTCCTAATGGTTGGTGATTTCAATGGTAAGCACACGTCATGGGGCAACAATATAAATGATCAACGCGGGAGAACAATCGAAAAATTCCTAATTGACTCGGACATCTGCCTCCTGAAAACAGGTGAAGTCACTCACCTATACATTCAGACGGGCACCACTTCAGCAATCGACCCGAGTCTCCGCACTCCTGACATCGTTAATAATGTTCGTTGGATGGTAATAGATGACACCTACGGGAGCGACCACTCCACACTAGCTATAGAATACGAGACCCACCAACACGCAAACTTAAAGCCCCGGTACATCCTGAAAAGAGCAGACTGGCAAACATTCGAGGAGCTAACTCGTATGGAGGAACTAAAAGGATGACCGACCTATCTGTGGACGAAATGGCAGAAAACCTCACAAACGCGTTAAGAGTGGCCGCAAGTATAGTAATCCCGCGCTCTAAAGGTGAAACTATCCTGCACCGTGTAGTCCATGGTGGGACGACGACTGCGCTCGCGCCAACTTAGACAGGAAGCGGGCCCTACGACGGTTTAAGCGCAGTGGCAACTTGGCCGATAAAATGGCATATTAGAGGTTCCGAGCTGTGGCCCAATACGTTGAGAACACAGCCCAGAAAAAGTCGCGGCAAAGATACATCTCATCCTTGAATGCAAATACTCCTATGTCCAAGATATGGCAGCGAGTCAGGAAGATAGCAGGAAAACCACCACTCAGCCATGGGTGATGGTGAATGGCACGATCACGGCGGATCCCCAGCTTGTAGCAGCTGAGCTGGCACTACATAGTGCGGGTGTTTGTAGCGGACGCCATTGCCCTAATCCATTCCGTCCTACCAGAGCCCAGCATGAACAGCAGCCTACGGACTTCATAAATGATGGCATTCTTCCATACATTACCTAATTACGTGCCTAGAATTATACAACGCATTACAACATTATAAAAAACAACACTAGACCCGGACCAGATGGAATCCAAAACAAAATTCTGAGAAAGATGCACCCGACTGCGGTCGCGGCCATCCTAGCCCTCTACTATAAAATTTGGTGGTCCCACGTATTTTCTTCGCAATGGCGAATTGCCACAGTGGTGGCCTTCCTAACACTCAATAAACCATCCCTGGAGCTGTCCAGCTACCGTCCCATCGCCTTGACCAGATGTGTGGGGAAGGTACTGGAGTGAATTGTCAACAATTAGCTCGTACTATACCTGGAAAGCCAAAATCTGATTTCCCCGATACAATATGGCTTGCGACATCTCAGGCACTATGGAAGCACTTGTCTGACTACAAAACCATATCATTGAGAGCAAAACTGAAGGAAAACGCATCATTTGCGCATTTTTGACATGCAAAAGGTTTACGATACAACCTGGCGACATGGAATACTGCAGTTCATCCATCAAGCAGGGATTGGAGGAAACTTAGCCCTGTATACTCGAGAATTTCTGCGCCACCGATCTTTCAGAGTGATGGTGGGGGCTTCGCTCTCACCTCAATACATCCAAAAACAGGGAGTGCCGCAGAGGAGCGTGATCATCTGCACGATCTTCTTGATGGCCATAAACGGGATCACCTCCAGCCTTCCTCCTAATTTACAATCCTCTCTATACGTCGACGATTTTATAATCTATGTATCATCCCACTACCTACTCGCTCTTGCGCCCCGTATTCAGACCGCCATAAACCGCGCTAATCTGTGGACTATGGCCCGCGGCTTTTCCTTTTCAAGCCAGAAAACCGTGGCCATGTTCTTCAAACGAAACCGCTCGCAGGAACAACCCCCTCCATTGTTTTTTACAGGTCTCGCAAATTACCGTATCCCCCGTAGCTAAATTCCTTGGTATGACATTGGACTACAGGCTCTCTTGGGGGCCCAACCTGCGGGCTTTGAAGGGCAGCTGCCGTCGGAGGATGAACCTCGTGAAGCACCCGTCCGGACAGTCATGGGGATCGGACAGGCTGACCCTGCTTCGCCTCTATAGAACCATTCCTAGAACAAAGATGGACACGGATGCATCGTCTACCAACACGTCACTACCAACAACAGAAAACAAATCATTTCCTTACTCGACCCGGTCCTCAACGCCGCCATCAGGACATGCACCAGAGCATTTAGAACATCCCCCACTATTAGCCTCTGTGCAGAGAGCGGCGAACCTCCACTCTATCTCCGCCGAATACAGCTCACGTTGCAGATGATAGCCCGCCTCAAACAATTACCTCAACCCCCTTATAGCTCAGCGTTATAACTGAAGACCGACCAAACATTTTCTCGTACAATATCCCGTCATCCGAAGACTATGAAACACTGCTTGCAACAACGCCGGATCAAACTAGAAGTCATACCAATTACGTTTGAGGATACCTCTGCGGGGCGCATCCCTATCAACTCACTCTGCCCGGGCCAAAACTATCCACTAAACTAAAGGACACACCCAACCGAGATGAGAAACCTCGTTTTTAACCATGCTTCTACAAAGCATGCAAAATCTACACATTTACACTAAAGACTCTAAGACGAACGGCGCAGTGGGATGTGCGGCTACGACCGACACAGCAACGGTGTCTAGACGACTCAGTTTAAGCTCATCAATCTACACCTCTGAGCTCCTCGGTGTCAACTGTGCCCTTAACCTTATAGATGAATTACCCGGAAGCGTTAACCATAATTATAGATTCTTAATGTGTAGTGCATGCTCTAAGAGTTTATAACAGCAAACACCCCATCGTCAAGGAAATTTTGGCCGGGCTGGTGCGCCTGGCAGGGGCTGGGAGAGCGGTGAGCGTCTGCCTGGTGCCCGGACACGTGGAGATGCAGGGCAACTACAGGGTGGACGAGCCGGCGGTATAGGCGTCGCCTCATCGGTTGTTGTTTGTTGCGCCGTCACGCTCGCTGGTGGGAGGCTCCGGTGGTGGCCGGGGGGAGGTACTGGAAAAGGCGATCCATAGATCGGACCAGGCGATCCATAGCGAGCAGGTCCCATGCCGGGACCATTACCCTATCATTAAGGCAAGCATAAGCTAAATCTGGCAGGAACAGTGGCTGACTGTGAGAGGGAACAAACTAAGAACAACTAAGGACTGTGTACAAGTGTGGTGTTCATCATACCAGAAATCCCGGAAGATGGAGGTAGCACTGTACATACTGAGGATCGTCCAAACGCGCCTCTATCAGAGCTACCTGATCGAACGCCGTCCAATGCCGTATTGCAGTGATTGCTTGGTACCCCTGACGGTCTTGCATATTATAGCGGGATGCCCGAGCCACGGCAATACTCGGCAAAACTACTACCCCAACACTGCTGCACTCAGCCCAGACGAAATGCTGTCTAGGATGCTGAAGGAAAGTTCCCCGAAGCATATTTAGAACCGACAACCTCAGACGATATCCAATCGAATGCAACCTACTGCCGGATATCTAGCACGGCACCATGACATAGGTCATGAAAGACCCACTCCCTTGACAAAACACCACATTCGTGTCACCACATCACTAATTGAGAAGAGACGACAGAAGTCGGAGCGAACCCGAGCCTCAGAGTGCAGTGGAGGTAGATGAGAGCGTGGATTTGGAGCTTCATGACGGTCGGCCTTCCACTTGCAGTTAGTTGATTTGCTTAATGAAATGCATCACGCTTCTGCTACTCGTGAACTAATAAGTGAATGTTTATCTTATATCACTTGTATACTTACTGCAACTTACAACCATCAATTTAAGCATTTAAACCTAGTCTCAAATACATATTTGCAGGCATTCGCTTCTTTCTACTCGCGTGCAGTAATGCAGCAATTCAGCAGTCCTCACGCTTTCAGAAAGTTTGCTTCCTCTGATTGGAGCTTGAAGCACGCACCCCCACTTGGAGCTTGAATCTCCAAAAAGATTTATTCAATAATTAACGATAGTTCCGAGTCGTATTTTTACTCCTGACACCATTAGTTGGCGTTTTTAAGAACTATGCAGCTGTGCACAGCGGCGTGCCACTAGGACGCGTTGTCGGGCCAGTTTTATTCGTTGCGTTTAAAAACTCACTGCCTGAAGTAATGGCTAACCAATGCACATTGTTTTCTGAAGATGAAAAAGTTTCTAATGCAGTGAAGGTGACGCCAATAAAAGAGCAGCAACAAGATGACCTTGATAATTTAGGTGATTGACTAAAATGCATGGCAATTGGGGGTTATTCGTAATACATTGGGGGTATCAAATTAACGAATTTATCAAGGCAACTTTGATACTGGTGACATTTTACTTGCTATTTTTGGTTTAGAATAATAAACTGATAAAATATAAGCCATCAAAATATACGTTTAAAAATGATTTTTTTAACGACAACACTTCCATCGTCGCGGGAATTATTACAGATTTTTACATGAATTAGGTTTTAATTGAAACTAATAATTTGCCTGGTGTAATTTACGAAACTTTTGATGTGTTACTTATCATTTTCGGCCAACTTGGTTGTCAAAACTGGTCTGCTACCTCAACTTCTATCACATTAAATGCGTACCATCGTTAATTTTATCATTAGCTATGAAAAATCTGAACAATAATGCATGTCGTCTAAGTCATTGAAATTCAAATCCGTGATTGTGGATAGCTGACAATATTTTCCTTCGTTTCCAAAACAAGCTGCGACACACAAACTACGACGTGCCTTCATTCGCCATCTAGGGCCTCGGCGCCTCGACATAATTGATGCTGGGTGACGATAACTGAGAGGACTCAGAGGAGGTTGCCGTAAGTAACGATTTCGAAACTTTTTAATCTTATGGCCATCATTTACGTCAACTGGCGTCAAGTTGAGATGAATGGACGAGGTATCGGAGGACACCTGGACACGGAGGTAATAGGTGAGAGTTGTCAGCGAGTGTTGAGACTGTGACTAGGTAATCCAGATTCCAGAGCAATGCAACTGTTCATTCAGATTTCAGAATATTTTGATATTATCTTTTCAATCATCAGTCCTTTTCATACCTCTTTGATAGCTCTGTGATAAACATCTATAACCTTGATTTTAATTTTTTAGTTAGAACAAGAAACTTATCATCAGAAAAAATAGTGATTAAGCCTATAATGGACTTAGAAGTAGAAAGTTCCTGGCCTTTCCACTTCTAAGCTTTCAGGTCCTGCTTCCCAATATGCTATCTCTAAGTTCAATACCTAGTGTTCAATAGCCACTACACTATTGAACACTATTGAACACTTTCAAATAGTGTTCAGTACTCAGAGTCAGTAGTGTTCAATAGAGTTCAAGAGTTCAAACTCAATAATTTTTTGATGATGATCCATTGACTTAGGTATTTGACTATTGGTCAGGCAGAAATGGCAGATATATCCAATAATAATAAACATAGCGTTTGGTAGGCCATAGGCCTGTCACCGATTGACCGATTCTTAACATCGCAGAACATTCACAATTTCACAGGCATCACAGCATTTTGCGGTCTCGAACTCGCAACTCACTGCTACAATTCTACAGTGCTTAACCCCATAGTGGCAAAACAGAGAGTTTTTTAGATTCTCACTCTCCCTCAAGTTCATTTTTTAGTCCTATAAGTAGACCAGTAAAGTATCATGGATACCATCATTATCATACATAAGAAATTGGTTTCAATCTCGAGTAAATGAGGAAATTAAAAATGAACTGATTCTAAAAAATCTGTGGTTTGTCACTATGGGCTATACCTACCTATTCACGGTTCTGTAACTTCTGTTATTCTCAAATTTTTAAAAGTAAAACTAACAACCAATAAGGCTATATCCCATTAATTAGCCTATGTGGCATTATGNCTTTTTTGGAAAAATTCCTACGAACAAAAAAGTCTTAGATTTATCTTTTACATAGGTGTACCAAGTTTCAAAGTTATCTGTCAGTAATTAACCGGAATAGAATTTCCATAAGAAATTGGACATTGCCATTGGAAATTGGAAATTTTATTTCGGTTACTTACTGACAGATAACTTTGAAACTTGGTACACATGTAAAAAATAAATCTAAGACTTTTTTTATTCGTGTGAATTTTTCGAAAAATGACAGAAAACGTGAAATTGTTGGAAAACCAATGTTTTTTTCTGTGTGACGAATTCGTCACGCCAGGGCGTAAAGGGTTAATGCTGGTTATAGTTGTGTAACTGGGCCACCTCCAAACTCCAATGGTTACACATGTTTAAAATTAAACCTTAACCCTAATAGCCATGGGTATTGGATGATGGGTTTGCAGGAAAATGCCCTTTATTTTCAACAACCTCCATAAGACCCTTAAAAAATAACCGCAAACCTCACAGCCTTGTCTGACAAAATATTCTTCAACTGAAATCTATTCATGGTATTGAATCTATAATATTTTAGCTATTTTATCTATTATAATTGGTAGATCATTTGGTAAACTATGTATAAACTTAACTAGCAAGTGAGCAGCTTTGAGTGGTGGCAGCGAGCTGTGCCCCTGTCAAAGTTACGACATCAGTGTTCAATGAGCAACAGAGGCAGGAGCCTGGAGGTGCTCGAGCTTTCTGCTGAGCTCAAATTTCTCAATTCATGTATTTTGTGCAATGGTGCAATGGCAGGCTATGAACTTGCAGACAATGAGATCAAATAAACTAATGGAACAAATAAACTGATAAAGAAATGAGAAATCAGCAATGAAGATGCACATGCACCAGAGATTATGATGCCCATGCTCCAGCAATAACGATGCACATATTTTAGCGCACCGTGCATGACTTACAGTCTCCTCACCACCGGTAACATCACCACAATGTCAATTGGTCAGAATTGTTGTATATAGTCAGATGGGGTAAGACAGGACCGAAATCACTAACAAGCATGTAGCATCTATACCATGAATAAATAAAAAACCATAAACCTATCACAAGGTGTAGTTA